GAGGGAAAGGGGGAAAACAGGAGGGAAAGGGGGAAAACAGGAGGGAACAGGAGGGAAAGGGGGAAGGGGGAAAACAGGAGGGAAAGGGGGAAAACAGGACGGAACAGGAGGGAAAGGGGAAAACAGGAGGGAACAGGAGGGAAAGGGGAAAACAGGAGGGAAAGGGGGTGGGGGAAACAGGAGGGAACCGGGGGTGTGATGAGTGATGGTGGTGGTCCTGGGGTCTGGAGATCTACCTCCAAGAATGAGCCTGATTGGTCTTGGCAATACCCAATCACAACACTTCGTTCCACAATTCGGGCGATCAATTTACCCGACGGGAAAGAAAAGCAAATACATTGACTTGGGACGGATGGGGCTCAAGTGGGTTATGGATAGAGGTGGAGAGTGCAAAAACAAGGAATAGAGACAGTCAACCCTTATATACAAGACTGTTCTGGCCTGTGCTGGAGTACTGTGCCCAATTGTGGACACTATCCTTCAGGAGGGATGTGAAATGTTTGGAGTGGGTGCAGCAAGGATGCCCAACAATGGGCGTAGGGGTGAGGGGCTTTAGCCAAGAGGGTAGGATGCGGAGGTTGGAACTGGTTTCCTCAGAGCTGGCTGAGGAGAGATTTGATGGAGATTAGGAGGGGACCTTGACAGAGGAGTCACAGAGAAAGCCCATTTCCCCCGGTAAACAGATCGGGGGCCAGAGAACACAGTAACTGGACAGAGGACTGAATAGCCTAGTGGTATTATCACCAGACTGTTAATCCAGAGAGCCAGATAATGTTCTGGGGACATGGGTTCGAATCCTGTCCCAGCAGATGATGGAATTTGAATTTTTAAAAAAATATTCGGAATGAACAATCTAATGACCGTGAATCCATTGTTGATTGTAGGGAAAAGCCCATCTGGTTCACTAATGTCCTTTAGGGAAGGAAACTGCCATCCTTACCTGGTCTGGGCCTACATGTGACTCCAGACCCACAGCAATGTGGTTGACTCTTAACTGCCCTCTGGGTAATTAGGGATGGGCAATAAATGCTGCCTAGCCAGTGACGCCCTCATCCCGTGAATGAATAAAAAAATAACTTGAGGAGAATCACTTTTACGCAGGGAGGGGTGAGGGTCTGTCCCCAGAGAGAGAGATGGGTGGGCAACAGATTCAACTGTGGCTTTCAGAAGGGAAATTGCCTACGGTCCTGATGGGAAATGGGAGCGGCTGATTTACTCTGGCAGTGAGCTAGCAGGGTCATGATGGGAGGAATTGCCTCTTTCTGCACTGTAACCATCCTGCAATTCGAAACCGATTCAAAGTGGCACACACTGAACGACACAGACCCCCACCTCGCCACTCACCCACCCCGAAGCTGCCGGCCAAACTGAATGCTTTAGCTTACGTTTGTGGTTGTTCTTTCGATGGAAGGGCAGAGTGTGTCGCTCCAGCTCATCCTCGCCCTCCTCCTCCGCCAGGTGGGTGTGAGTGTAGTGGTAGCTCAGGCCTGGTCTGTTCTTGTACCGTTTACCACAGACTTTGGGCCACGAAAGGCAGAGAGAGAGAGAGAGAGAGAGAGAGAGAGAGAGAGAGAGAGGGTGTGTGAGTCACTTCAAAACTGTGCACAATCCCAGAGGAGGCGATAGCCTGCCAGAGACCAAGGACAAAACCAGCAACCCTCTCTCCCCATTGCCATTCAACTTGGACCCTATCTCAGTGGGGAGCAGTCGGTGTGAAAGCCAGGGGTTCAAGTCCCACTCCAGGAACATGGCCCAGGCCAACCCTTCCCCGGGCAGTACTGAGCGGGTGCTGCATTATCAGTGACTCTCGTTCTCCAGTTGATCCATTAAACGGGGATCCTGCGCAAAAGGATAGCAGCTTGAGTGCTCGTGGTGGTTTGGCCAATATTTATCCTTCGATCGACATCAGGTAAAACTGACTAATCCGGTCCATTCCTCACACGGCTGCCGCTGGGATCTTCCTGTGCGCGAACGGGCAAGCATCACAATGGGCAGTCCCTTTCTCTGGGTGCTAAAGCTCTTTACTGGTTGGCTACAAAAACATTCGCGTGACACCCTTTCCCTCTGACGGACGAATCTACTCACTATCGCAGACGTACGGCTTGTCTCGATCCTCCAACGATGTCGGCTCTTGCCTCTTGCGCATCCCTCCAATGCCACAGGTCTAGAAGAGAGAAGAGAAAGGCCAAAAGAGTTATTTTAACCTCAGCAATGTCCCACTCACTCTCCTTACAGGCTCAAAGCTCAAGGGGACAGTCCCTTGGAGCTACTCGTCTGAACCTGTTTGCCGAGGAGAAGATGTAGGCCATTCAGCCCCTCAACCCATTCCTTGTCCATTCGATAAGATCACGGCTGCTCCACATTCCCCCCTGCCTCTGATAACCTTTCACCCCTACTTGCCTGTCAAGAATCTCTCTGCCCCCGCCTTAAAAATATTCAAAAACTCTGTTTCCACTGCCTTTTTCAGGACAGACTCTTGCCTCTGTGACAGAAAACCTGCCCTTTCATCTGCTTCAAATGGGTGGGCCTCCATTTCGAATCGTTCTGGATGCTCCCACAAGAGGAAACATCCACTCCACAGCCACTCTGCCAAAACCCATCAGGATCTTATTGCTTCAATCAAGTCATCTCTTACTCCTCTAAGCTCTGGCGAATACAAGGCTGGTCTGTCCAACCCTTCCTCATAACGCAGTCTGTCTGTTCAACATATCAGTCTAGTGAAGCTCTTCAGAACTGCTTCCAAAGCAGCTACATCCTTCCTTAAATAAGGTGAGCAATATTGTGCACTGTACTCCAGATGCAGTCTCACTAATGGACTAATAACTAAAGTACAACCTCCTACCTTCACAATAAAAACCAAAAGTGCTGGAGAAACCCAGCAGGTCTGGCAGCATCTGTGCCGAGAGAAACAGAGTTAGCCTTTCGAGTCTGGTATGATATTTCTTCAGACTGCCACTCTTTGTTCTAAAAGCAACACGTGATGGCTCAGCGGTTAGCACTGCTGCCTCACAGCACCAGGGACCTGGGTTCGATCCCACCTTCGGGTGACTGTCTGTGTGGAGTTTGCACATTCTCCCTGTGTCTGCGTGGGTTTCCTCCGGGTGCTCCGGTTTCCTCCCACAGTCCAAAGATGTGCAGGCTATGGTGGATTAGCCATGGGAAATTGACTATAGTGTTCAGGGACGTGTAGATTAGGTGGGCTATAGGGGGATGGGTCTGGGTGGGATGCTCCAAGGGTTGGTGGACTTTTTGGGACAAAGGGCCTGTTTCCACACTATAGGTTCAGAAACAGGGTTAACATACAGACTCTGATATGTGTCTCCTCTCGAACAAAGAATGGTAGTCTGCAGAAGAGTCACACCAGACTTGACTTGTTTCTCTCTCCACTCATGCTGAGTTTCTCCAGCAGTTTCTGTTTTATTTCAGATTTCTAGTATTTTGCTTTTATTTTACTCTCTACTTTTATTTTAAATCCCCTTCACGATTAATTATGGTATTCTATGAGCTTTCTCATAGTTACTTGCTGTTCCTGCAGACTAACCTTTTGCAATTCATGCACAAGGACACCCAGATCCTTCTGCACCTCAGAGCTCTCCAATCTCTCACCATTTGGATGGTGTACTTTTTCCATTCTTCTCTCCAAAAAGGACTATTTCACATTTTCCCACATAATATTCCATTTGTCAGATCTTTGTCCACTCACTGAATCTATCCAAATCCCTCTGCAGTCTCCTCATGTCCCCCCGGGGAGGCGATGGCCTAGTGGTATTATCGCTGGACTATTAACCCAGAGACCCCAGTTAATGTCCGGAGGACCCAGGATTGAATCCCATCACGGCAGATGGTGGAATTTGAACTTAATTTTTAAAAAAAACCTGGAGTTGAGAGTCTAATGATGACCGTGAATCAATTGTTATTTGGGGAAAAAAAAAACCTTGTCTGGCACACTAAAGGAAGGAAACTGCCATCCTTACCTGGCTTGGCCTACATGTGACTCCAGACCCACAGCAATGTGGTTGACTCTTAACTGCCCCCTGGGCAATTAGGAACGGGCAGTAAATGCCACGACGCCCTCATCCCGTGAATGAATAGTCAAAAAGAACTTCACAATTTACTCTCTTCAAAGCCCATGAAAGGATTTAATATACGAGGACACCCCTGTAGATTTTGGGTTGGTAACCCGAGGAGACAACACTATTGGCAGAACTGAGTGAAGGGGAATTAACTGTTGACACAACAAGTTTGCTGTGATCTGGGTCACACTGACTTAAAGCAGATTCAATATGGGAATTTTCGGATAAAGTCTCGCAGGACTGGGGAACAAGGGCAGAGGGGAGTGGGACTTTCCTGTAATTTTAATTTCATGGGTGTCCCTGGCCATTGGCTGTCCCATCCCTTTAACTGCGAAGCTTGCAAGGGTCATTATTCAGGGCAATTAAAATTCAACCACATTGCTGTGGGTCTAGAGTCACATGTAGGGGCCAGACCAGGTAAGGATGGCAGTTTCCTTCCCTAAAGGGCCATCAGTGAACCAGATGGGTTTTTACAACAATCGATGATCATTGTCATGGACACTGACACTCACACTAGCGTTCAATTCTAGATGATTAGTTGAATTTAAATTCTACCAGTCCTATGGTGGGATTTGAACCCATGTCCCCAAAGCATTCGCATGGGCCTCTGGATAGCGACTAACTGGATAGATCTTCCAGAGAGCCAGTATAGACATGTATCATAGAATCCCTACAGTGTGGAAACAGGCCCTTCAGCCCAACAAGGCCACACCGACCCTCAGAGCATCCCACCCAGCCCCATCCCCCTATAACCCACACACCCCTGAACACTACGGGCAATTTCCCATGGCCAATCCACCCTAACCTACATATCTTTGGACTGTGGGAGGAAACCAGAGCACACAGAGGAAACCCACGCAGACACGGGCAGAATGTGCAAACTCCACACACACAGCCACCCGAGGCTGGAATCGAACCCAGGTCCCTGGCGCTGTGAGGCTGCAGTGCTAACCACTGAGCTACCATGCCGCCCATGTGAAGCTGAATGGCCTCCTTCAGTCTATTGTTCTGCGACCATGTGATCTGAAGCCTTGACTTGTCACCTTACATGTGTTTCGGAAAGGTACAGCACAGAACGAGGCTATTCGGCCCATGATATCTGTGCTGGCTCTTGGAAAGAGTTCTCCGATTAGCCTCATTTGTCCTGTTCTTTGCCCATTCCTCTGCAAATGTGACACCCTCTGCCCCCTCAAACTGGTGTCAAAGTTTCCAGCTTTACCTCAACACTCCCTCTGCTCGCGCAGCCACTCAAAATGCCAATGGAAGTCATGTGATCTTGTTTTGGCCACATGACATATCAATAGGATTTCCCCCTCCCGACCCTTCAATTCGTCCCTCTCATCCTTCCCTTCGAATCACACAACATTGAGACAATAAAGAAACCCTGAACAGCTCACCCTTCCTTTGGTTTTATTTTTCCGCTTTGGCGTGTCTTCCTCCAGGTCATCAGCCTCAATCTCGTGAGGGAAGTCACTCGCTAAAATCCTCTGCAAGAAACGAGAGGTTTGACGTTAGCGTTGGCTTGGCCAACTCTAATTGGGTGAACCGCAGGGAGGGTACGATCATGTGATTACCCTCCCTCAACCAACCAGCAGCTGAGCCCCACCCCAGGCTTTACCATTGGCTGAACTGCAATGCGTCAATCATCCCAAGGCCCAGCTCCCACTGCACCCTCCCCTCCCCCGACATGCTCACACAGCCAATGGCAAAGTAGATAATTGGATAATGCTTGACCATTGGGTTGGAACTAACAGCAGAAGTAGGCAATTCAACCTTTCAAGCCCAGTTTGCTATTTAACATGATCATGGCTGATCTTATCCTGGTCTCAACTCCACTCTCCTGCCTGCTCCCTATCACCCTTTATCCCGCTTTCCATCAGAAACATCTCCATTTCTTTCTTGAATCTGTTGATTGATTCTGTCTCCCCTGTGCTCTGGAGTTCCACAGATTCACAACCCTCAGAGAAATAGTTTCTCCCCATCTCAGTTTTGAACCTACCCCCGTCTCACTCTATGTCCATGACCTCTTGCTCGGGACTGTCCCACAAGGGGAAATGTCTGTTCAGCATCCACCTTATCAATCCCCTTTAGCATTTTGCATACCTCAATATGCCCTTCATTCTTCTGAACTCCAGCGAGTACAGGTCCGAACTATTTAACCGCTCCTCATACAACAGCCCCTTCATCCCTGGAATCAATCTGGTGAACCTCCTCTGAATTGCCTCCAGTGCCACCACAAACTTCCTCAAGTAAGAAGGCCAGAACTGGACACAATACTCCAGATGCAGTCTCACCAATAGCTTATACGATTGTAACAACATTTCTTTATTTTTACAAGCCAGCCCTTTTGCAATAAATGCCAGGATACCGTTTGCTTTTCTAACTATGTACTGCACCTGCATGCCCACTTTCTGTGACTGAAGGACACCCAGATCCCTCTGCACTGATGCACTGTGAATCTGCTCCCCATTTAAATAATAATTTGCCCTTTCTTTCTGGCCAAAATGGACAACCTCGCACCTATCCACATTAAACTCCATCCGTCAGATTCTCGCCCATTCTCCTAGCCTATCAATATCCATCTGCAAACTCTTTATCTCCTCATCACAGCCTCATTTCCCACCTATTTTTAGTATCATCCGCGAATTTTACTACATTACACTGTCCCCGAGCTTGTTGACTTGCTCACCAAGCTGGCTTGTTTTTGTTCAGATGTTTTGTCACCACGCTAGGTAACATCATCAGTGGAGCCTCCAATGAAGCGATGTTATTCTACTCCACATGGAATTTATACTGTCCAGTCCGTTATGGTGAGTACAGTCATTTCTGGTTTTGATCTGTGTGGGTTTATATATGGGGTCCAATTCTATATGTTTGTTGATTGAAGTATTGGAGAACCATGTCTCTAGGAATTCCTGTGCGTGTCTATGTTTGGCTTGGGCTACTATGGTTACTTTGTCCCAGTTAAACTGATGGCCTAGAGGCATGGTTCTCTACCCATACATCAATCAACAAACATATAGAATTGGATCCCATATATAAAACCTACAGATCAAAATTAGAAATGACTACTCACCATAACAGACCAGACAGTATAAATTCCAAGCAGAGTAGAATAACATTTGCTTCATCGGAGGCTCCGCTGATGATATCACCTAGCATGGTGAAGAAAAGCCTGAACTAAAACAAGCCAGCTCGGCGAGCAAGTCAACAACCTCACCCACCACCTGAGCTACAGATCTTCGCCAATACTTCATACACCGTCCTTGTTTGCAGATCATTTATGTAGATCGTAAACAGTCAAGGTCTGAGAATTGACTCCTTGTGACACCCCACTAATCACAGTTCGCCATCCAGAGAAGGACTCATTTACCCTGGCCCCTCTGTTTTCTGTCAGTCAGCCAATCCTGTATCCAAGCCAATACTCTGCCCTTAATCCCCCCGGGATCTAACCTTCTGGATCGGTCTTTCATGCAGCACCTTGTTAAATGCCTTCTGGAAGTCTCGACATACCACATCCACCGGATCCCCATTATCATCCACCTGGCTGGTTACATCCTCAAAGAACTCCAGGAAATCTGTCAAGCCTGAGTTGCCCTTCGGGAAACCAGGCTGACTTGCAAGGCACCAGTCACCTGCGCGATAGTCACAGCTGGGCAGAGTGATGCCAGAGGTGTGGGCTCAATTCCCATGAAGGGCTCTCCTTCAGCCGCAGCGTGGTGACCCTCAGGTTAAACTCGAACGAGAGAGTGATCCTCTGGGACTTTACCTGGCATTCGCTGATGCTCTCCTCGTCTTTCATCTCCGCCTTCTTCTCTGCCGCATCCGCGCACAGCAGGGCTTCCAAGGCCGGGCCCTCAGGCAGCAGACCCTCCTTCTTCAGAGCCACCTCAGTATCTGAGCAGAGATACGCAAGAAACAACAGCATTTGGTCGCCATGCCGCTGACCCCTGGCCTGGTCCTAACCTCCGGGAGCCCACTGTGGTTGGGCATTACCATAGAAATCACCACGGAAACGAGGTGGGCCCCCTTAAATTATGGGACAAAATTCAGGAAAAGAGGATGTTACGATACTGTCATTGGGCTGATAATAGGGTCACACAAGAGGCCCTTCAGCCCATCAAGCCCATCGGGGAAGGCAATGGCCTAGTGGTACTGTCGCTGGACTGTTAATCCAGAGACCCAGGTAATGTTCTGGGGATCTGGGTTCGAATCCTGCCACAGCAGATGGTGGAATTTGAATTCAATAAAATATCTGGAATTAAGAGTCTAATGATGACCATGAATCCATGGTCAATTGTCAGGAACAACCCATCTAGTTCACCAATGTCCTTTATGGAAAGAAACTGCCATCCTTACCTGGTCTGGCCTACATGTGACTCCACACCCACAGCAATGTGGTTGACTCAACTGCCCGCTGGGCAATTAGGGATGGGCAATAAATGCTGCCTGGCCAGCGACACCCACATCCCATGAATGAATAAAGGAAAAACAAAGCCTGTATTGCCAAACTATCTACACTAGTCCCACTTCCCTCCACTAGGCCTGTAGCCTTGAGAGTGATGACATCTAAAGTGCTCATCCAAGTACTTTTTAAAAGGTTGCCATGATGTGGAGGTGCTGGACAAGGCCAAAAATCACACAACACCAGGTTATAGTCCAACAGGTTTATTGATGTCACAAGCTTTCAGAGCACTGTCCCTCCCTGTCAGTGCATTCCAGACCCCATCACCTTCTGGCTGAAAACATTTTTCCTCAAAACCTCCTGGCTTTCACTTTACAATTATGCCACCTTGTCAAAACCGAAAGAACTGCGGATGCTGTAAATCAGGAACAAAAACAGGAGTTGCTGGAAAAGCTCAGCAGGTCTGCCAGCATCTGTGAAGGTAAAAAACAGAGTTAACGTTTCGGGCCCAGTGACCAAAGAGGGATGACCAAAGTTAACTCTGTTTCTTGCCTTCACAGATGCTGCCAGACCTGCTGAGCTTTTCCAGCAACTTCTGTTTTTGTTCCTGTTGTTGTATGCCCCCTGGTTATTGACTATTTCCTTGGAGACACGAGTTCAAATCCAACTGATGGGAGAATTTAAATTTAATTTATGAAACAATTTTGGAATTGAAGGCTAGTCCCAGTGATGGTGACAATGAAACTATCATCGATTGGTATTAAAAACCATTTCTGGTTCACTAATTTGCTTTAGGGAAGGAAATCTGCCATCTTTACCTGGTCAGGCCTAAACCTGACTCCAGACCCACAGCGATGGGGTTAACTCTGAACAGCCCCAGCTGCTCGGTTGCTGAGGTGGGGGGTGAAAGCTGGATTTACCGGTGATGCCCACTGAACAAATTAAAGAGAAAGCTCCCACCAGCCCCCGCACCCCCCGCCCAAGCCTGACCCACCATCAGCACGACCAACAGCAGATCAGAAGCTGGGAATACTGAGCTGAGTAACTCACCTCCTGACTCCTCAAAGCCTGTCCCACCATCTACAAGGCACAAGTCAGGAACGTGATGGAATACTCCCCACTTGCCCTGGATGGGTGCAGCCCCAACAACACTCAAGAAGCTCAACACCATCCAGGACAAAGCATCCGCTTGATTGGCACCACATCCACAAACATCCCACTCCCTCCATCACCGACGCTCAGTAGCAGCAGTGTGTACCATCTACAAGATGCACTGCAGAAATTCACCAAAGATCCTCAGGCAGCACCTTCCAAACCCACAACCACTTGAAATCTAGAAGGCCAAGTAACAGCAGATACATGGGAACACCACCCCCTGCAAGTTACCCTCCAAACTGCTCACCATCCTGACTTGGAAATATATTGCCCTGTTCCTTCAGTGTCACTGGGTCAAAATCCTGGAATTCCCTGCCTAATGGCATTGTGGTGGCAACTAGGGATGGGCAAGAAATGCTGACCCAGTCAGAGTCACCCACATCCCACAAAAAATGAATAGAGCATAGAACATAGAACATAGAACATTACAGCGCAGTACAGGCTCTTCGGCCCTCGATGTTGCGCCGACCTGTGAAACCAATCTGAAGCCCATCTAACCTAAACTATTCCATTATCACCCATATGTTTATCCAACGGCCATTTAAAAGCCCTTAAAGTTGGCGAGTCTACTACTTTTGCAGGCAGGGCATTCCACGCCCTTACTACTCTCTGAGTAAGGAACCTACCTCTGACATCTGTCCTATATCTATCACCCCTCAATTTAAAGCTACGTCCCCTCGTGCTAGCCATCACCATCCCAGGAAAAAGGCTCCCACTGTCCACCCTATCTAATCCTCTGATCATCTTGTATGTCTCTATCAAGTCACCTCTTAACCTTCTTCTCTCTAACGAAAACAGCCTCAAGACCCTCAGCCTTTCCTCATAAGACCTTCCCTCCATACCAGGCAACATCCTGGTAAATCTCCTCTGCACCCTTTCCAATGCTTCCACATCCTTCCTATAATGCGGTGACCAGAACTGTACGCAATACTCCAAGTGCGGCCGCACCAGAGTTTTGTACAGCTGCAACATGACCTCATGGCTCCGAAACTCAATCCCTCTACCAATAGAAAAAAAACCGACTGACTGACCCCTGGGTGAGGAGTTTAGGGGTCCTCAGGCATGGGGGATGCATGCTAAAATGAGGTGTGGGGGTGGGGGTAGAGGGCTGGTTGCTACTGAATGTGTTGGTGGTGGGGGAGATGGTGTGAACGCTGGCAGGTCACCAGAAGGGAGATGGCACCTGACCGATCGTTGGCTTTGCAAAGGTACACAGTGCACAGAGTGTAGACCAATGTCATGGACACGGCTCCAGCAACCCAGGGCTGTGGAGAGGGGGGTGGTCCTGTAAACGCTGGCAGGGTGGGTCAGCCTGAACGAGGCGAGCATTTACTACCTCTCCCCATTTGCCCTTAAGAAGGAGCAGAAGGTGGCCATTCAGCCCTTCGAGCCTGCTCTGCTATTCACCTGCATCAGGACTGTTTGTCTACTTCAACTCCGTATTCCCGCACTATCCCACGATCCATTCCGTTGGGTCGAGCAGCCTCCCTATGGCGTGGGCCGGTTAGCTCAGTTAGCTGGACAGCTGGTTTGCTATGCAGAGTGACACCGATGGCTTGGGTTCAATTCCCACATGGGCTGCGGTCACCATGAAGGACTCTCCTTCTTCAACCTCTTCCCCGCCTCGCTCGAGGCGTAGTGACCCTCAGGTTAAACCACCACTGGCCATCTCCCTCTCTAATGAGACCGTGGGACCGTGGCGACTTTGCCTTTAGCTAGCACCTTTCTGATAGTGCACCAAATCCAGTCAGCGAGATAGGGATTAGAGGAGTGCAGTGTGGGAAGGAAGAGACGGGCAGGAATTGTTCTGGGTGCAGTGCCATGGACATAGGGACAGCAGCGCCAGCGGCCAGGCCTGGTTTGTGACTGATGCATGGAGTTGAAGGGCTTCATGATCCTGAGGGAGTGGGGGAGCATTGTTGGAGAATACTCCTGGTGATTCTTGCTAAAATGATCTGGGGTTTGTCACACTCTAAGGCAGAAAGGTGAAGCTGCCACAGTCGAAGAGCCTGCGCAACACTCTGTTGATGCTGGTACATGAGCTGCGAGGATTCACAGAATCACTGCAGTGTGGAAGCAGGCCATTCAGCCTGCCAACCCTCTGCACAGCATCCCACCCCATCCCAATAACCCTGCATTTCCCATGGCTAATCCACCCTAGCCTACACACATCTTTGGACTATGGTGGGAAACCGAAGCACCCAGACGAAACCCACGCAGACACGGGGAGAACGTGCACAGACAGTTGCCCGAGGCTGGAATCGAACCCGAGTCCCTGTGCTGTGAAGCAGCAGTGCTAACCATTGAGCCACCATGCCTCTTGACAGGGTAGATGCAGGAAGGATTTTTCCCCTGGCTGTGGGCATCTAAAACAGAGGACACAGTCTCAGGATAAGGAGTTGGCCATTTTAGAAGGAGATGAGGAGAAATTTCTTCACTCAAAGGAGGTGGGGGGAATTCCAGGAATTCTCTACACCAGGGAAGCTCACTCATTCAATATGTAAGGCAGAGATCCATAGGTTTCTAGGGATCGTGGGATAGTGCAGGAATGTGGAATTGAAGTAGATAAACAGTCTTGATGCAGGTGAATAGCAGAGCAGGCTCGAAGGGCTGAATGGCCACCTTCTGCTCCTTCTCTAGGGCAAATAGGGAGAGGTAGTAATGCTCGCCTCGTCCCATGACTGGAGTTTGAAAGTTTGCTATGTAGGATGGGCATTTGAGGTGAGAATGTGAGTGAAATCTTTGAGAGAATCCTTATAAGAGGGTTATAAAATCATGAGGGGCATAGATAAGGTGAATAGCAAAGGTCTTTTCTGTAGGGTTGGGGAGTTCAAAACCAGAGGGCATAATTTTAAGGTGAGACAAGAAAGATTTTAAAAGGGACTTGAGGGACAACTTTTTCATGCAGAGGATGGTTTGTACGTGGCATGAAGTGACAGAGGAAGAGTTTACAACATTTAAGAGACATTTGGACCGATTTAAATGGATATGGGCCAAGTGGAGGCGAATTTAGTTTGGGAATCTTAATCGGCATGGACAAGTTGGAGCAAAGGGTCTGTCTCCATGTCGTATGACTCTGTGATTCTAAAACAAAATGGAGCAGATGTGCCAATGGGGGCAGGAGAGACGGTAAACAGGTGGTTTGGGTGCGGTGGGAGAGCAGAATCTCAATTTCTGGCATATGTATTCAGCCAAGATAACAAAGTGTTGAGCTGGAGGAACACAGCAGGCCAGGCAACATCGGAAGAGGCAGAAAGCTGACCTTTCAGGCCAGGAACCTTTTACAGAAGGAGGGTCTTTCTGAACAAGGGTCCCGACCCGAAACGTCAGCTTCCCTGCTCCTCTGATGCTGCCTGGCTTGCTGTGTTCCTCCAGCTCCACACGGTGTTATCTCAGTCTCCAGCATCTGCAGTTCTTACTGTCTCGTAGAGCCTTGTTACTGAGCACAGACAGCTCCTCAGACAGGATCAGCCCTGACCACCTTCACCTTTAACTGTGAACTTCCAACTTGCCATCAGTCAGAGGGGATGAGCTGCTAATTCACTGCCTGTTAATTAAATGGTCAATGGGTTATTAGCCAGGTCCCGGGGGACAGGAGAGAAATTCATCATGACCAATCCGTGATTCTTAAAGGAGTGATAAGCACACAATTCTGCCAAGTCGCTGGATTTCCAGAGAATAGAGAGCTAATCAATTAGAGAGTAAAACACTGATCGGAAGATTAGATGCCTCATCAATCAAATGGATTTGGCAACGATTTTGCTAAACCACTCGACTCTTGTTAATGTTGGTGTAACTGCTGGAAGATCTTAAAAGACACAGAGCCTATTTCACATTACATTTCAGTAGGGCCCTGGGGAGTGTTGTCAAACAGAGAGACCTAGGCGTTCAGGTACATAGTTCCTTGAAAGTTGTGTCACATATAGACAGGGTGGTTAAGAGGGTGTTTAGCACAACTACTTTCACCATTGACTATAGGAGTTGGGACGTCATGTTGAAGACATTGGTGAGACCAGCTTTGGAATACTTACGTATAGTTCTGGTTGCCCTCCTATAGGAAGGATATTATTAAATTGGAATGAGTGCAGAAAAGATTTACGAGGATGTTACCGGAACTGACGGGGTAGACGAGTTTGAAACTAATTTTAAGGTGAGTGGAAAAATATTTTAAAAGAGACCTGAGAGGCAACTTTTTCACACAGAGGCTGGTTCGTATGTGGAATGAGCTGCCAGAGGAAGCGGTAAAGGCAACTACAATTACAACATTTAAAAGACATTTGGACAGGTACACAAATAGAAAAGGATTAGAGGGATATGGGCCAAATGCAAGTGAGAGAGACTAGTTTAGTTTGGGAAAACTGGTCAGTATCAACTGGTTGGACCAAAGGGTCTGTTTCTGCGCTGTATGGCTCAACGGGCCATTCAACCCAACTGTCAATGTTGATCTTTATGCTCCCTAAAAGTCTCTGCTCTCCCCCTCCACTGCAACCCCCATTCTAATGCCTTGTCCCTGTTCTGAGCTCAGCTGATGGTTCATACTGTACCAGTCAGATCCCAGTGTGAGACCTGGCTTGATGGATTACCTATGTTTTATTTCTGCTATTTGTTTACTGTGCTGGTCACCTAAAATCAAGAGACTGTCAATGCACTTTTAACAAAAGAACATAAGAAAAGCCACAAGTTTTTGGATTTAACCCTCAACAACAACCCTGACAGATACTCAATCCCCAGGGAAGTGTGCCCCTGACTCCACACATTCGGTTAGCCTGACGTCACTGACATTTGTAATCCATCCCTAGATGCCCGTGAATTGAATGGCTGTCTAACTGGCCATTTGTGGGCACAATTAAGAGTCAACCCCATTGCTGTGGGTCTGGAGTCACGTGTAGATCAGACAGGGTAAGGATGGCCAGATTTCCTTCCCTAAAAGGTAACAGTAATCCTGATGGGATTTTTTATGATGACTGACTACGCGGTCACCATTAGACTAGCCTTTAATACCAGATTTTATTAATTGAATTCAAATTTCACCATCCATCATTGAGTGATTCGAATCCACGACCACAAAGCGTGCGTCTAGTGTGCTGGATTGAGAGGCCAGCGACATTGACACTGCATGGCCACCCCACCTTGAATGACCCAAAGGCTTTGCCGTACAAATTGGCACATTGGTGCACATTATGTGTGCAAGGAAACTGGTCACAACTTTTCGATTTTTGTTGTTAAATACAGACACAACACATGAGCTTTTACATTAGGGGATGGAGTAGACTGTTCAGTTGCTCGAACCTGCTCCGTCATTCATTACCACATCTGATTGTAATCTCAAATCCACATTACTGTCTACCCCTGAACGCCCTTCACCCTTTCCTTAACAAGAATGTATCTAACCTCTGCCTTAAAAATATTCAAGGACTCTGCTTCCACTCCCTTCTCAGGAAGAGTGCTCTGAAACTCATCACCCACCTCCCCAACACCGCCCAGAGGAAAAAAACTCACCTCATCTCTGTCTTAAATGAGTGACCCCTGACTGTGAAATGGTGCCCCCCAGCTCTAGATTCCTCAAAAGCGGAAACATTCTCTCCACATCCATCACGTCAAGTCCCCTCAGGATTTTAAAAACCGAAAGAACTGCGGAAGCTGTAAATCAGGAACAAAAACAGAAGTTGCTGGGAAAGCTCAGAGTTCTGAGGAAGGGTCACCGGACCCGAAACGTTAACTCTGTTTTTTCCTTCACAGATGCTGCCAGACCTGCTGAGCTTTACCAGCAACTTCTGTTTTTGACCCCTCAGGATTTTACACGTTTCAGTCAAGCTGCCTTGTACTGTTTTAAACTCCAGTGGATACAAACCCAGTGTGTCTAACCTCTCCACCTCACACAACACTCTCATTTCGGCTATTAGTTTGGTAAACCTTCTCTAAGCTATCTCCTACACCTCTACATCTTTCCTTATATTAAGGTGACCAGTACCGTACACAATACTCCAGGTGTGTTCCCACCAGTGCCCTGTATAACTGAAGTATAACCTCCAACTTTTCAATTCCCCGTGCGATAAATGATAACTTTCCGTGAAATTTCCTAATTACCTCCCGTTCCCGCAGACTAACCTCCTGTAATTCATGCACTAGAACACCCAAATCCCCCTGCACCTCAGAGCCCTCCAATCTGTCACTATTTACACAATAAGCTTCTTTTTTTTTAAACTGTTCCTGCCAAAATGGACAATTTCACACTTTCCCACATTATACTTGATTTGCCGTATCATTGCCCGGTCACTGAACCTATCTGAATCTTTGTGTCCTCTTCATAAATTCACAGACGGTGACAGACCTGAGAAGCTTCCGGAAATTTAACGGCCAATGACTGTAATTACACCGTGACTGTTGACATAGCAATTTACAACAGTAAGCACTGGCAAAAACACATCACTAAAAATCATGGCAACAAGAGCGTGTGTCCCACAAAATTCTTAGTATAGTAATATTGTTGTACAAGAGAAGACCGTTTGTGATTATTTGACAACATGCGTTGTAAAAATCTTATTAGGCTGGAGGGGCTGCCTATCAACAGTCTCAGGCTTAATGGGGGCCTGACTGGAAGCTCACTAATTGGTTCCATGTCTGATGGGGAGAAAAAAAAACAGAAACTGTTCATAGACCCAAACACATTAAATTAAATCATTCCCCACACCTCAGCCTGGATTCGGGAAGAGATCAAACAGCAAAAGTCTCTCTCTTACCAAGTTTAATTTCACACGGTCTTAGCCTTGGGTCTTCCAGGATATTTAGGCGTCTCTTCTTCCGCCAGCATCGAGCTGGGTAGGTGTACAACTGTCCCGGGGCCAATCCTACAGGAATCAGGCATACAAACCAACTGAAAGTTAGATATTTCAGAATGAACAGGTGCACAAGTTCTGGTGAGCGAATAGAAACACATGAAAACTGAGACAATAAGAGAAGTAGGCCATTTGGCCCTTTGAGCCTGCTACCCCTTTCAATATGTTTGTGGCTGATCATCCAACTCAGTCCCCTGTTCCTGTATTCTCCCCATTCCCTTTGATGGGGAAGAGGGCGTTTCCCCCAACCCCTGCCTAGGCCCCTGCCCCAGCCCCTCTCCCCATCTCCCCCCCCAAGCCCCTGCCCCCTCTCCCAGCCCTTCTACCCCACCCAGCCACTCTCCCCATCTCCCCC